CCACCACCCCTCTCCATCTCCCCGCTGAGCTCCATTCTGCCTTTCCAGAGGGGAAGAGGAGGTCGTTTGTAGCTGTGCCCACCCCGGATTCACGCTGGAGCCGACGCCTCATCCCGACAAAGAGTCTGGCATAAACTCGTGGCACTGTGGTTACGGTGAAGATGGAGGATGTTCCCATTGGGAAAACAGAGAAGAAATGATGGACTTTGGCTGCAAAGGAGGCTGGAAACAGAGAACAAGATCCCCGTGTCACCCATCACCTGCCTCCTCTGTACACCCCGCTGCCCCAGGCAGGGTTACTGGGCAGCATTCCGAGTTCCTTAGGCTGAATGAAATGGGAAATGGGGAAATCCCACTCCAAGCATAAACCCACCCATGAAACCAGAAACTGGTCCTTTCTTGGACCAGCGGAGCTTCTGAAGAGGTGATGCTGCTTCTCCACCACATCGCACAGCTCTGCTTTGCAGAGACTTCAAGAGAGACCATCTCCAGCACCTGGAAGCCAAAATCCCTGGAGGGAACCCTCCTGGCCTGGCCCCCCAGGGAGGGAGCAGGGCATCAGGCTGCACCCCACAAGTCACTGCCACGCCAGGCTGAGCTGCTCGACCAAGCAGGAGCTCAGCCAGCCCACGGTACCCACCCTGCAAGCCAGCAGCCGCTTCCCGGGCATGGGCAGGGTCCTCCCGATGGCAGCTCTAATTCACCTTCCCCTCATCCCTCCAGAATAAACACGAGCCTTCCCGCTCTGCCTGGCCTCCTCCTCTCCAAAGTGCTGGTGGTTTGGCAGGGCTTCGGCAAGCGAGGAGCTCAGACACCGGAGACTCCGCTCCGCAGCACCAGACATACCGCCTGCCATCCAAGCACATTCCCCGCCAGCCGGGGCCAAGGGAAAAGCAGGAAAAAGGGAAAACAAATCGCAAAGATGAGTCGGGGCCGTCTCCTGACGGGCTGGAGCTGCTCCAGCCATGCGGGAGTCGGTGCAGGAGAGCTTTTTTTCTCCCAGTAAAAAGTGCTTCTGGGTGATGGGAAAATGAAACCCAAATGCCCTCTAATGGCCTCACACAAATGTGCAGAGGGAACGCGTGTTCCACAGCAGGAAGGAACAGCTGTTTGGGTGATGTGTCCAGGTGAGAAATGGACTTTTTAGATATGTATTTCTGGAACTAAAAATAAAGATGTGCTCATCCAGGTGTGGAGCTTGTCTGTGCAGGGTGAGCCCAGCCCTGCTGCTCAGGGCCAGCTCGGTGGGTGCAGGAAAGTCCTGGCACAGGGTGGAGCTGCTTAGAGTAAGAGAAGGAAAAAAAAAAGTTAATCAAGGCACTGAACACATTTTTACAGTTTATTATATCCTGGGTTGAACCCTTCACTCTTACCCAGCTATAAGTTCTGCTGATGGCACCAGCCCTGGCCATAGCAGTGCTCAGGTCTCCAGGGTTGGGATGTGCAGGGCAGGGCACGGCACAGCACAGCCTCTCCTCAGCCTCCCAGAAATCAGTGCCCAAACTTCCCTGTAGCTCATCCCTCCTACTGCCAGGCCCACGCTTCCTCCGGTTCCCCTGGACTGGGATTTCCCCAGCACGATGCAGCCACCATCACCAGCTGCCTGTGCTCCTGACCAGGGCAGATCTGGGGGCAGAGGAGCAGAAGGCTGAATGGCAGTGAGAGCTCCTCTCTCCAGCCCAAGAAAAAGCCCCCCCAGCAGCAGAAAAGGCAGCAGGGCCAAGGCAGCTCGCCCACTCCCTCAGGCCCAGCAAGAGCTGAAAATAAAATCAAAGTCAAGGATGAGGTTCAGTCACCTCTTGGGGGTAAAAAAAAAAAAAAAAAATAGGAAGAAAAAAACCCTCACTGCTCTTGCAGTAAAACATTGCCTACAAAGAGAATTATTTACTGCAATCATCTTGTGCTCAGCCTGAACACAAATCATTAATTCTGTTTGATACGGGCATGTGGTGGACCTCCAGCAGGCAGCAAATGGCAGAACAAACAGCTTTGGTCGACTTTTTTTAGTTCTCTGGTGGCCACCCCAAACAAGTGGTGACCTAAAGCTCATGTAGACTTCAAAACTACCACATTCCTCAACTGACATGGATAAAACATTGTGGGTACTGCAAATCCTGGTTTTAAGGCAGTTCTTGTTCAAGCATGTTGGGACTCAGCCACCAAGGCTGGGTGAGCTGCCAGGGCTGTCACACACTCCCAGATCCTGCCTAGCCACCTCTGGGTGATGGTAAAAAATCAGAAGGTCACTTTTTTAGGCAGCAACCTGCAATTCTCATCTTAAACAAATGACTCAACACACCTCTGCTATAATTATCTTTTTTTTTTTTTCCCTGCAGAATGTCTCCCTGATTCACTAAGCATCTAAATAATGAATTAATGATTCCAACTAAATCAGAGTTATTATTCCCTATGAATGCAGGGAAATCAACTCTTGCAATTTGATTGCCAGTCTCACAATATTTCCCTCTAAAGCCCTGCTACCCTGGAAACGTGGTTATTTGAGGCTCTGACGCAGGGTCCTGGCTTTGCCTGCTCGTGTGGGGCAACAGAGAAATATTCTACCCCATCCACAGGTAACGTGTAAAGATAAAAATCTTTATCTTTATCTTTTAAAAATCACAAAAGAAAATTCTCTCCTGTACTCAAGGCACAAGGCCACATCTGCACACAGCCTGGGATCTGCCAGCCACACTCCTGAGCCAGTGATGAGCCTCAGATCACAGCTCATTTCTGTGCAAGCACACACAGCAGCTGAAGGAAAACTGAACCTACTGGATGAGTAAACAACATGCATCAGAATTTCTTTTCTAAGTCATCCTCATGACTGATGGTTTTTAAATGCACAGAGTTGGGTGAGAGAGGGCTGGGTGAGCCCCTTATTAAAGCAAAATATTTTCAAATACTGAGCACAGGAATGCAGTACTCAATTGAAAAAAAAACATAAAAAATCAAGTAGATCAAATGGCTTCCGTATTTTTCCTGGAAAAACATGGCTCAGGTTATGTGTTTGCAGGAGCTGTCTTGGCCCTGTGTTCTCATCCTGACACCAGCACTGCCAGAGCCAGGAGCCAGGGGGGAGGGTCCTGATGCAGGATGTTTGGGATGTATTGAGAGTGAAACCATGGCTTAAGTGCACCTAAACCACACAGGAGGCAGGCACAAGAGAAAAGCTCCGTGGCTGCACCTCCAAGGGGTCCAGGGCACAGGAGATGTGGAGAGCATGGGGTTCAAGCCATTTCTGGGCAGCACACCCCATGCCCTGCCCTGCCCCTCTCCTCCCATGGCAGGAGGCACCAGCTCCAAGCTGGGACAGAGAAAGCTTTGCCTTCCTTGCTGAGAGCAGCTCATGACCCTTCCCATGACCACAGAAGTTCTCCCAGCCAGCTGCTGTCTCTGCCTCAGTTTCCCCAAAGGTTGATGGCTCAAAGGGAACTGCTCCCAGTCTGTTCCTCTCCTCTTGCTGCCCTTCCACACCTCCATAGAGTTGCTCTGCAGGTGCCACCCCAAGCCCAGGCTGCAGGAGCAGCTGATGCACACAGAGGTGAAGGGGGCAGGAGCAGGGCAGGACGGAGTCACTTCCCTGAGGGGTGCACCCCATGAACCCCCCTGCCACCGTCACCCCAGGAGCACAGACCCACCACAGCCTCTGCAAACCGCAGAACAGCCGCATCTTCACCGCATGGAAACATCTTTTCGGCGGCACACCCATACTGGTGAGATTTTATTACACAGGCAGGAAATAACACACAATGTTTCCCACCGCTTATCTGATCCAGCAAGCAGTGTCTGAAGTCAAGAAACACACTGGTGCTCTCAACACGCAGCTAACCATCACCCCATCTGCGTCTTGGGCGTCCCCACCGTGTCCCCGAGCTGCCGTGCCCGAGCGTGGTCCAGCGGAGATGTTCAGCAGCTCCCAGGGAGGGATGGATGCTCAGTCGGGATGGCTGGGCAGGACTCACCCTCCCTCCTCCCCACTGGCTGCTGAGATCCCAGCCTCCTCCCACTGCCTGCCCGGATTCAATTCCCGGAAAACAGGCTGCCGTGGCCCTTCCAGAGCCTAGCCTTTCACCTCAAGTCCTTTCCCCAAGGTCGTTTTCCTGTGGCTTATCAGGGTAAACCTTCTCCCCTCTGACTGTTCCCTGTTAGCTCCCGCACCTGCAGATCCAAGTGATTTCTGGCCCCGTTTATGCTGCAGCAGCTGCTCGGCAATGAATGGGGGCTGCCCTTCCTCGGGGTCTGCTCTGGGGTCTCTGGTTTTAGTTCTTGCCCCAGTTTCACAGTATCTGGGTGTCTCCTGCCTCTCGGTGCCTGTGACAGGACAGGCAGGGCACAGCCCATCTCCCGTACTCCCTGCACGGGTCGGGACCGCTCGAAGGAGGAACGGGGAAAGGGTTTTTGCGCCTGGGGAGGGAGACAGAAGGAGAAGGAGCAGCAGCAGGGAGGGGGCAGCTCTTGAGCAGGGCTCGCTCTGCCTGGGCTGGGGACAGCCAGCCTGGTACATCCCTGCCTGCTGCACTGCCTGTGGCACCGGGGATGGCAGCAAGAGCCCCACGGAGCACTGACGGTCTCCTCCTTACCTCTGTTCCCGGTATTTCTGAGCGTTGGAGCCAGGAAAAATGCTGTCGGGAACGGCAGTGAGGGCGGCTCATGGGCTGCGGGCTTCCAGCCCCCGCTCTGGAAAACTGGGAGGTTTCTCCTGAACGCCAGTGGGACAGAACAGAAACAGGCTGAAAGCTTTGGCTCCCCTCCTCAGGAATCCCTCTGCCTCCCCCCTGCCTCCTGCTCCCTCCAGGCACTCCCAGCACCCAAAATAGCCGAGGGGCTGCGTGTCCCTGGCGCCGGGCTCCGAGTGCCTCAAGCGGGCTGGGGGGAGGCGCCGAGGGAGCGGCGGAAGCTCCGCTGAGGCTGCTCTCGGCACATCCTCCGTGCCCCGGGGAAAGTCCGGCACCCTCGGGTCCCGGGCCGGGCTCAGCAGGAGCGGAGAGAGGAGCCGCAGCCTGTGCCGGAGGGTACCGTGCTGCTGCGGGCACCGGTGCCACCGAGCACTGGGACAGCCTTCCACCGAGCACTGGGACAGCCTTCTACCGAGCACTGGGACAGCCTTCCACCGAGCACTGCCACCACTTTCCACGGAGCAGTGCCACCAGCGGCCGCCCTGGGCAGGGTTGTGGCAGCCCGATGGCTGTGGATGCTGTCTCCGCGTGGCCCGGCAATGGCAGTCGGGCTCTTTGCCCCGTGGATTCCGCCTTCGCCCAGCGCTTCCTGCCCGCCGTGTACCTGACCGTGATCCCCCTGGGGCTGCTGGGGAACGGGCTGGGGCTGTGGCACCTCTGCTCCGGGCCCCGCGAGGGTGCCCGCCAGCCCCTCAGCCTGCTGGTGGGCAACCTGGGGCTGGCTGACCTGCTCTATGTCAGCACGCTGCCCTTCCTCGTCAGCTACTACCTGCGAGGCAGAGTGTGGCTCTTCGGGCAGGCCTGGTGCCGCCTCACCCGCAGCCTCTTCCACCTCAACCTGTACGCCAGCATCGGCTTCCTCACCTGCATCAGCATCCACCGCTACCTGGGCATCGTGCACCCGCTGAAGGCACGGGGCAGGTGCCAGGGGGCAGCCTCGTCGGCGTGGCTCAGCGTGACGGTCTGGGTGTGGGTCCTGGCACAGATAGCCCCTGATCTTGCCTTCAGCAAGACGGATGACACGGGGACCAAGTGCCACGACACCACAGGACACGAGCACCTGGGCGTTTACCTGCCCTACACCTTTGTTGTCACCGTGACTGGGTTTGTCGTCCCGTTCCTCATCATCATCGGGTGCTACTGCCACGTGGTGTTCGTGCTCTGCAGGAATGACAGCGTGGACCCCAGCCTCAGGAGGAGAAGCATCGGACTGGTGATTCTCGTGATGGTTCTCTTTTCCATCTGCTTCCTCCCCTACCACATCTTCAGAAACCTCAACTTGTTTTTTCGCTGGCAACCGCAAGGGTCCTGCACACAGGCTTCAAAGGATGTCTACGTTTCCTACCAGGTGACTCGGGGCCTGGCCAGCCTCAACAGTGCCCTCAACCCCCTGCTCTATGTGGTTACCAGCAAAGACTGGAGGTCACGAGTGAGGACCATCCGCCAAAGCGCCAGACAGTGTCTGAGGCCACCCTTCCGGCGCACAGCCTCTTGCCAGGCAGCTGAGAAGAAGAGGAACATCATTCTTTGTAAGGGGGAGGCTTCTAATGAGCTCTGAGGGACCTGACACCCCCACTTCTGCCACGTCAGCTTGTGCTTGGCCCCTCCCTGGGGGCAGCCCCCCACCTTGACAGAGCTTTGCAGAGATGGTGACAGCAGCATCGCGGGCTCCGTGCACACAAGGGATAGACAGGACTGTCAGCATCACAGAGAAAACTGGGACCAGATTTCAAAATCAAAGCCACTCAACCCAACCATTTTGCCTACAGCACGCCTGGAGATGGAAAGAGATGATCACGTTAGCTCCAGTCCAAAGTGTTTCCTCCAGCCCGTCATGAGCAGTCTGAGCTGGTGAACATCCCTTGCTTCCCAGCTCCTCTGACTGAGGGATGGGAGGGAGTGACACCTTGTCCCTCCACTGCATCCTCTCTACTCTACTGTACAAAGAGGATTCCCTCTTTCACCTAAGGAGAGGTCCTGCATTGCAGAACAGCTGAGAGGGTGAATTTTTGCAGGGGGGAAGAGCTTTGGAATGGAAATATTCATTAAAAAATCAGGTTTTAAGTACATTACTTAGCTCTGCCAGTTCCTGGGTGACTGAGCTGTTCCAGGATCTGTGGGATCCTCTACTGCCCACCTCCTTTGCAGAAGAAAAAGACATTACTGGCATTACTCCCTCTCTTTTGGAAGAGCACATAGCAGAACTTACAAATAGGCATTTCAAAGTTTTTGGAGGCTGTTGGTTGGGGTTTTATTTTGGAAGGTGAATGACTGCAGTAGCCTTAACTGCTTTCAGCAGGAAAATGCCAGGAGAGTTTGCAAATCTTCAGGTGGGTGTTTGCATCTTGCATCCAGCCTTGAAAGGGCATTAGATATGACTTGTAAAAATTAGATGTGCAAATAAAAGGAGAAGCAGCACTGGTGTGAAGGCTTGTGAAGGCAGGATGTGATGGTGAGGGCAGCTGTCTGTCATCACCAGGGGTGGCAGGTCTCTTGCTTTGGGGTGAGCAAAGGCTCCCAGGCAGTATTTTGGTTTTTGATCTTGGTCTTACCCACTACAAACAGCTCGAACATTTCAATTCAATAATGTGATTTGTAGTGACAGCAGCTTTTGGAGCCCAGCTGAAGGAAGTGGACTGTGAGTTAAAATCAGCCCTTTCTGGGAAAGCACTGGCCCACGGATGGATGTTGTGCTCTTTTCTTGACATTTATGTCTGTCAGCTGTTCCTCACACGGACCCACCTTAGCTGGGCAGTGCAGGGAGCACAGCTGGCTTGCAGCGCAGGCAATATGTCTACAGTGCAATAAACAGCTCATGCTTTCAGTTGTGAGTCGTCTGGCTTCTTTTAAAGCCTTATGGGAGCCTGGGAGCCAGCTGGCCTGCGGGCTGGAGCAGGGGCCTGCCTGCTCAGGGAGTGGAGATGATCTTCCCAGGGCTCTGCAGGCAGGGACCTGATGGGAGACTGCAGGCAGCTGCTGGAGAGTGATCTGTGACAGGCACACACTGAGGAGCCTGCTCAGCACCAGTCAGGGGTCCTGCAGAGCCTGAAATGTCCAGCTCCCACCTCATCCACAGGAAAAGCAAAGATAAAGCATAAATTCACCAACAAGACCTTCTCTGTCTGTAGTAGGAAGATTGAGACATTAGGATCACACCTGGTCCCTGCTCCTTGCACACATGCTCCAGATCTGGGCTTCTCCAGAGCTCTGAACTCTTCTGTGTTCCCCAAAAAACACCCATGCCTCTGAAAGCTGTCCAGCTCTTCCATCTTCACACATGGATCCTGTCTAAGATGCTACAGCTCCCTGCAGAGCCAGCCTTGGCTCGCACAGCCCTTGGGAGCTGTGACACCCTGTCACTGCCCCCACTTTGGGCAGGGTTGGTTGAAGTAAAGCATCACCACATGCTGGGGAGGGAGTGCTGTGTAGGAAGTGCCAGCAAACTCTGCTCTCACCCCCTGCATCCTTGTGCCCAGATGTGTCTTCTTGTCTTCTCCAGTGCCCCCTCCCTTCACTTATAATAAATGGTTTAAATGGTGTCCTAAGAAGCATCTCTGAGCCCCAGGGACAGTTGCAGGCATAAATCTGCACATTTTTTCTGTGTTCTGTGTCTGTCAAAGCAGCAAAAGCCAGTAAGGATCTGTGTGTTGGGCTGATGTCTGAGGAGTTTGGGGTGTAATTTTTAATTCTTTTTTAATCACAGCCCCCTTGATTTTCAGACAGTGCTGCTTCCCATGTGAAATGGAGGGAATAAGCTCTTTCCCTTTATTAGGTGTGTGTGTAATTAAGGCTCAGCCCCTGGCACATGAACCTCTTCACAGCTGATGATGGGGCAAAAAAAACACCCTCCTTCCTCCAGCCCTCCCTCCTCCATCCCTCCTTCCTGCCCTCACTGCCAGGGAGGTTCCTTCCCTCCCCAAGAGCAGCTGCTGCTCTCTGTGGGACATGGAGGTGTGTGGCCACTGCAGGGATCCTGCTCAAAAGGCGTGGGCACTGCTCCCCTGTCAAAACCTCCCAGGGCTCTTTATCCCCTGGAACCAGAGGGTTTGTCCCTGGAGCAACCAGCATGGGCACCAGCACCAGCACCCAGCCTGTCCCAGGTCCCACTTACAGCATGGGAAGAACTTTTGGGAGTGGGTAAACGGGCAGGGAAGGTGGGCAGCGGTCATAACCCTCCTTCCCCTTCTCCCAACACAAGCATTTGCTGCTGGCAGGAAGGGGCCAGTGCCCCTGGAGAAGCTGTGCCATGGTTGCCTCCTGAATCACCACCCCTTTTGGGCTCCTGGCTTATGACAAGCTGAACGTTCTTTCCCTCCCTTGGCTATCTGTTGCCAGACTTTGGAGCTGTCTAAAAGCAAGTGAGAGGAATCCCACCTGCTTTTCCCACTGCCTCTCTGGTACAGCAGCGTGGAGCAATGGTCTTGTCTGCAGAATCAAGCTGAAAGCAGATTTTTAACTCCTTTACCAAGATTAGACCCAACCAATAAATCAAACATGGTGAAAATTCTCCTCCTGACACTAATGGGATCAGGATCTAGCCTGGAAATTTGGCAGCATTTCTTGCTTCATTAAATAAACCTCTCTTGGTTGAGGATATGTTGCAAACACAGTCAAGGTTTGTTATGTTACAGAGAACTTTTGAGCTGACAGCCCAGGGAAGCCAGTCAGGCAGAAATAACAGGCACATGTACAGATGCACAGATGTACATCCACTTTCTTCCTCCAAAATGCAGAACCGTTTTGTTGGGTTTTTTTGGCATGCAAAACACTCTACAAGAAGAAAATATTGCTATCAGCAACATCTAAGTGCATAGAACTCAACTCTGATTAATGCTTCATTTCATTTTGCACACATCAGCTAAAATCTGGCTCTGACTCAGTTCAGGGGTGCTGGTAGGGCCAGTGGAGCCCTGATTGCTAAACAAGTGTGGGTTGGCTGCCCTGTGCTGAGAACAGGCGAGGTGTGAAGCTGGACGAGAAGCAGCCAGAGCAGGAGGCTCCCGCAGGACTTGGCTCCCCATTACTCCAGGCACCCAGCACCAGGACTTGGTGGAGCATTTTTCACAGTGTGGTGGGAGGCTGCAGTGTGCACACAAAAAGGGATGAGTCACTCAGGTCACTAATGAGAGGTCACAGCATCCTCAGATTCTGTAAGAGGCATTTATTTCTTCAGCAAAACAATTTCATTGCTAAAGTACCTTTGGCTGCAGTGACACCAGACCTGACAGGTTATCTTATTTACCGAGGAGATCGATCAGACTGGGAAGGGAGAGCAGATGTAATTATCCAGGTGAGCTGGGAAAAATGGTAAACATACCTGCCGCTGGGGTGCTGCTGGAGATTTTAATAAAAGAGAAAAAGCTGGCTCTTTTTCTATACTACATGAAGTGCTTTGGCATCCGAGGGACCAACAGCTTGTGCAGAAGAGAGCAAATCACAGAAATAGAACAACACTTAGCATGCCTGTGTGAAGCCATCAGGCCAACACTACCCCTGCAGTGCATGCAGTTATAAATAGTGATAGTTATAAATAGTTATAAATAGTTATAAATAGTTATAAATAGTTATAAATAGTTATAAATAGTTATAAATAGTTATAAATAGTTATAAATAGTTATAAATAGGTGATGCCGTGCTGCGCAGGACCCGGGGGCAAGGAGCGCACAGCCAGCCCCGGCCGCCGCTCCCACCCCAGCAGCATTTGTATGTGCGCTACAGAGCGACTGCAGCTGCACCCTGCAGGCACCGATTTGTCCTGCAGGACTCGCCCAGCCCAGGTTTAAAAGAGTTGTGTCATTTTTAACTCCGTTTCTTTAAATATCCGCCCCCAGCAAGCGCTCCTTGCCCCGGATCGCTGCTTGAGGCAGGCGCCAGCACAGGAGCGGGGCAGTGAGAAACCCCCGGGAGATGCTCAGTGCACTACGACCTGTGCTGCCTCCTCAGCATCCTGGGAGGAAGATATCATTTGAATTTTGCCCAACACCTCCGCTCTGTCATGAGCAGGAGACACTCAGATCCAGCCTGGCTCCCTGAAGAGCCCTTCGTGCCAACATGCAGCCCAGCCAGCGTGAAATTCTTCTGCTTGTTTGGGTTTATGGGCAAAAAGTTTACCCTAAGGAGCATCAGAGAGCTCCCAGGCTTCCCAAAGGCACCACAGCTCCTCCTTGGAGAAGCTGCTTCCATGCTGTGCTCAGGACATCCAAGGACAGGAGACAGATTCTGTCCTGGCTGCCCTTGCTCACGGGTGGAGGTGCAGAGGTGCACCTCTGTGCTCAGCAGAGGTGGGGAGAACCACCCACCACAGCTCCCAGTCTGCTCTTACCAGCACAGCCCACCCTGCAGAACCTCCGTGTCTCCAGTCCAGGCAGTGGGGACAGTCCCATGGCAGTGGAAGCTGCTGGCACGGAGGGGAGCTCAGGGGTAGGGTCCCTGGTGCCAAGAGCCAGGCATTCTCACTGAATGAAGTGTTACTTGGCTTGGAGGCAAAAATCCCCCTCTGAAAGTGTGTAGTGCTGGCCAGTGCCATGCTGAGCGTCCAGAGGAGATGGGGATGCAGTTTCTTTGGGGTGCAGCTCATCCATGAGCCTGGGACTATCAAAGACCCCCACTGGTCTGCACAGCCCATCATGAGATGCTGCAGCTTCCTCAGGGCTGTTGGAGGAAAGAATCTTTCTGTGTGCAAAGCTGAAACAACAGATCCATCCCTGTAGCCACTATCACACTGCAATGAGCTGGGATGTTGGGAAAGCTCTGGCAGGGTGCCCCAGGGCAGACACCAGCATCACAAGGGGCACAGTGAGGAAGAGGGGCTTCACCAGCTGAAACATTCTTTATTTTCCAGTGGGGCATGTAGGAGCAGAGGGTGGCTCATGGACAAACCAGCAGACTCAGCCTGGGAGTATGGGACACATCCTCTCCCAAAGACACAGCACAGGGATGAGTGCTGGACTTGCAGCCTCAGCTGCCAGCCCCAGCCTGGGGGAAGTTCTCATTGCCTCCATAAAGGGGGCTGCTCACGCGTGGTTCTCAAGCCAGAAACCCCCAGATGGCCATGCCCTGAGTCTGTGCCTGGTCCTGTGTGGAGATGGCCAAGGGATACCCAGAGCATCACCTCCTGTCACTGCTCAGCACCTCAGCTGCCACCTCAAAAAATGACCTAAAAGTCAGGTAAATGTTTCATGTCACAGAGAAGCTTCTGGTTTATTTTTCCGTTTACCTCAGGTGGTTTGCCTGCCTCCAAAAAAGCCTACTGTTAATTTAATTCCCTCTAATGATTGATGGCAGATCTGGCGTCCCAATGCCTGGAACAGCTGTGATTCCTGTGCCACCATTTGCTGTGCCCCAGGGACAGCACACAGCCCCTGAGCATGGCTGGAAAGAAAGGGCCAGGGCTGGAGCAGGGGACAAGCAGCTGGGCCAAGCGAACACAGGGACATGTTTGCATTTGCAATTCGGAGAGGATGTGTCTTATCTCC